CAAGCGGCTAAGGCACCAGCCACATACACCTGAGCTGGCGGGTTCGAATCCAGCCCCGGCCGCCAAACAACAATGACGGCTGCAACCAAAAAAAAAATAGCCTGGCGTTGTGGTGGGAGCCTGTAGTCCCAGCTACTTGGGAGGCGGAGGCAGGAGACTCGCTTGAGCCCAGGAGTTGGAAGTTGCTGTGAGCTATGATGGCATAGCACTCTACTCAGGGGTGACAGCTAGAGTCTCTGTCTCAAAAAATAAAAAAAAAAAAAGACATACAAACTGCAGGTCCATGGTCCACAACCCCAGCTCTGACCCTCAGAGACCGCAGTGTGACAACCCCAAATAAAGAGAAAGAAAACTATTAACTAAAGACTTAAAAGTTTTAATCCAAATTTGGACAGTATTGGGAAAACCAGTCTTTGAACCTAGAAACCAGTCCCCTCCCAGCACGTAATGGACAGACCACGCCCCCAGAGGCCCTTAAGGTTTCTCCAGGCCACGCTCTCTCGCTCCGATTGGCTCTCGAGCTTGGGCGGGTTAGAAGCTGGACTGTAGCAGAGTGACTCGCAGAGGCCACGCCCCCTCATCTGGGGTCAGGACTCCAGAGATGGTCCCGGAATCCCACGCGGACTCCCAGGGGGCGTGGCCTCCGCCTTGTCCACTACCTCCACGTGAGAACCCTGAAGTACTGGAATTAGCCACCCGAGGAGACCTTGGAGGGGTCTCCTGGGTTGTAAGAGCCTTCGGAAGCGGCGGCGCAGGAGGGACAGGGTCTCTCTGAGAGTCAAGATTTCCACCTAGTGAGAATAAGTTAAGAATGAGAATGATAAAGCTTCGGCACTCAGGACTCCAGACTCCCAAGCCTTTAATCTCTCGGATCCGGGAGTGTAGTCCCCCAATTTTCTCCTTCCTTAGACCCCGAAGTCTGGACCCCTGAGTCCATTCCTTGCTGAGAGTCAGTCCGCCCCTTCACCCTCCTCCTCTGAGCCTCCTCCCTAGTATCCAGGACCACGGTCCCCTCTTTGCTGGGATCCGGAGTTCCCAAAACTTCCTAGTAGCCCACAAACACCTGCTCTCCAAAAGCTAGGAGATCCCCAGCCCCTCACCTGTCGTCATCATTCTGTGCCACTGCGACGCCTCAGTGGCCAGGGCTTGGGAGAGGCTGAGGACCCGCTCCCGGTGGCCTCCAGATGTCGGCAAGTAAGGGATGGTGTTCCTCGGACTAGCAAAAAGGGAAGATAGGGGAAAGAAATGTACAGCAGTGCCGCGCACGTCCTTCCCAGCGCGTGTCCTTAAAGGACTTTAAACACTGCGCGCCCGCGCACGCCCGGCGCCCTCCCTGCGCCCTATACAGGATTTGGAGTTCAGTCGCGCATCAATTTTACCCAATTTTCTAATGGAAGAGCAGCGTTTGCTGTCGACCAAGCAAAATTATGGGAACTAAAGTTCCCACTGGGGATCTAGGGCTTTTTAGAGGGGGCAGGGGACAGACTCTCACTCTGTCACCCTGAGTACAGTGCCTTGGAGGAGTCATAGCTCAGGGCACCCTTATACTCAGGCTAAAGTGATCCTCTTGCCTCAGCCTCCTGAATAGCTGGGACTACAGGCGTCTGCCACATGCTGGGCTAGTTTTTCTATTTTTAGTAGAGACAAGGAGTCGCTATTGCTCAATCTAGTCTGGAACTCCTGAGCTCAAAGGATCCTCCAGCCTTGGTCTCCCAGAGTGCTAGGATTACATGGTGTGAGCCGCCATGTCTGACCAAATCTAGGGCTTTCCGATTTTGTTTCAGCTGTTCTGAGAACTCAACCATCTCTAGAAGTTTTGTGACTTGTAGTTCAGGACTCGGGAGCCTTTCATAATAACAATCCTCCCCCCTTTTGCGAATCAATTTTCCTGCTCCCTCAACTTGCCCTCCAGTTCCTTACCTACTCCAGGACCCAGAGCTTCTGAGCCACTTCTGGGCTCCCGAGTGCCCTAGGACAGGCTGGAAAGGAATTGGGACATTAGGACTCCTCATCTGAGGGTGAAGAGGAGGAGAATGAAGTTGCCCAGAGACACTGACAGAGTTTCACTTTACCTGTGCTTTTATGTATTTATTTGAGACAGAGTCTCACTTTGTTGCCCTTGGTAGAGTGGTTGTGACATCCTAGCTGACAGCAACCTCAAACTCTTGGGCTCAAGAGATTTTCTTGCCTCAGCCTCCCAAGTAGCTGAGACTACAGGCACTGGCCACAGTGCCTGGCTATTTTTAGAGACCAGGTGTTGCTGTGGCTTAAGCCGGTCTTGAACCTATGAGCTCAGGCAATTCACCCACCTCGGCCTCCCAGAGTGCTAGAAATATAGGCATGAGCCCCTGCACCAAACCTTTTACCTGGAAAACAACTCCAGCTAAAAAAAATCCCTCATCCCCCTGTCCTCCCCAAACACCCATGACTTCTCTAATTATTTCCTATAAAAATCTAAGGTGAAACCATCCTGAGATATCTGAGACAGTCTGAGGTGCAGATCTGGGATGCTCTCTACATTTTAAGAAATGAATAAAATCAATTTCCTTACTTGCTCTTTTTTTTTTCCTCTCTCTGGTCTGTGACAACACATAGCAACTAAGAAAGAAAACTGAGCTTCCAATCCAGATCTGTGATCCCTGGGTCTGTCCTTCTCTCTCCCTCCCTCCTGTCCACCTGCTGCTAAAGAGTCCAGAAAGCTGACTTTAGTGCAAGTCCAAGTTGAGATGTATCTGGAAACCCAGTTTGGGGTAAGGACATAGGGAGTGTCCTCATTTTACAGACAGGGAAACAGAGAACCCACTATCACCCCCCCACCCCACCCCAAACTATCCCCTTACCCTCTGCTCCATTTCAGGTTGGTGTCTGGCTGGGGACAGGGTTCTCCCCAGGGTGAGGAGCCGGGGGGAGGCAGGGCGGGGGAGAGGCCGTCCACATTCCTGGTTTCTGCGCATCCGCTCCAACTGCTCCTGAGCACTCATCCGGGGCCGGGCCATGGGGGCCTAGGGAAGAGAGAGGCACCCCAAGACCTTAACTTTGGGTCTCTTTGTCTCTTTTTGCTAAACTTCTGGACTTGCAGTCTTGCTTGTTCCAGCAAATTCACCACAGTATCTTTCCATGCCCACAGCTGATGCTGTCACTGCCATGCTCATCGTGTCCCATGGCCCGCACACACACTGAGGACAAAGGCCTCTGAAGCCCTGTGTGGCTTGACCCCTCCCTCTCCAACCTCACTCCATCAGCTGGAGGGACACACTCATGCTTTCCTGGATGTATCAAGCTTCTTCACACTATAACTATTCAGGACTCTGGGTTGCTGGTGACAAAAAAACCAACCCTGACCTAGCTTTGACAACAACACAAGGAGGAATGGGACTCACTGCCTGACCAGACTGTTAAAAGAAGAGGATCAGTTTGGGTCAGCGTAGGACCCTTACTTCATGAGCTCTCTCCAGCCTTCACTGTTTCTCTGTCCAAAACCAGAGAGAAGACACACATGAGGAGAATATCATGTGATGATGAGAGTTCTGTTGCCACAAGCCTAGCTGCTACCAGAGCTGGAGAGAGTATGGCCCTGCTGACACTTTGACTGCTGACTTCTAACCTCCAGGACTTAAAATGTGAATGGCGGCTCGGCGCCTGTAGCTCAAGTGGCTAAGGCGCCAGCCACATACACCTAAGGTGGCGGGTTCAAATCCAGCCCGGACCTGCCAAACAACAATGACAGCTGCAACCAAAAAGAAAAAAGTGGCCGGGCGTTGTGGTGGGCGCCTGTGGTCCCAGCTACTTGGGAGGCTGAGGCAGGAGACTCGCTTGAGCCCAGGAGTTGGAGGTTGCTGTGAGCTGTGAAGCCACGGCACTCTACCCAGGGGGATAGCTTGAGACTCTGTCTTAAAAAAGAAAAAAATGTGAGTGGCCAGAGATTAGGCAGTACCTATGGCTCAGTGAGTAGGGTGCCGGCCCCATATACCATATACCAAGAGTGGTGGGTTCAAACCCAGCCCTGGTCAAACTGTAACAAAAAAAACAACCAGGCGTTGTGGTGGGCGCCTGTAGTCCCAGCTACTCCGGAGGCTGAGGCAAGACAATAGCCTAAGCCCAAGAGCTGGAGGTTGCTGTGAGCTGCAACGCCACAGCACTCTACCAAGGGTGACAAAGTGAGACTCTATCTCTAAAAAAAAAGAAAAAGTGAGCAGGCAAAAATGAATCAACAAAGAAATTGGTTTTTGTTTTTTTTTTTGAGACAGCGTTTCACTCTGTTGCCAAGGTAGAGTGCCATGGCCTCAGCCTAGCTCAGTGCAACCTCAAACTCCTGGGCTCAAGCGATCCTCTTGCCTCAGCCTCTCAAGTAGCTGGGACTACAGGTACCCACCTGTAGTTTTTCTGGCTAATTTTTATATTTTTAGTAGAGACAGAGGTCTTGCTTGGCTCAGGCTGGTCTCAAACTCCTGATCTCAAGCTATCTTCCCACCTCAGCCTCCCAGAGTGCTAGGATTACAGGTGTGAGCTACCCGCCCAGCCTCCAAATAAGCAAATATTTTTAGCCATTTAGACTTTGCCTGCTTTGTACACATGGTGAAACTGTGCCCAACATCTGCAAGCTGGAATTAAGATAAACCCTAGTCCTCTGCTGCTCTTTGGAGCTCTCTGAACCAAAGATCCCCTCCCATGCTGCTGGATGGCCCACCCCTCTCCAAGACTTCTGTCTCCTAGGAGTTCCTTGGCCCTCCTCCCCTCCTGCCCAGTACCCCTCACACAGTAACCTTTGGAAGGGGGGGTGTCTCACACCCATAGGCAAACCTGTCAGTGTCCCTCATATAGCTCCTGTGTGCTAGTGCCACCTCATGGTCTTATCTTTCCCCTTGAGAGGCCCTGAAATCCCTGAAACTCACTACTAGACCTCTGCCTCTGTACACTGGCAGCTCTCATAGCCATGTGGACTGAGGAAGGAATTTGAAAGATCAGTGATACCTGGGAAGCCCCAGTAATCTGTGTCCACACCACTGAAAACAAAAGTTTCTCTCTTTCCAAGAAGAAATTGACTGGTGGGTTTTGTATTCATGAAAAGAAGCAAGCACTAGAAATGGTGTTAAGTGGCTCACTCCTGTAATCCTAGCACTCTGGGAAGCCGAGGTGGGTGGATTACTCGAGCTCATGAGTTTGAGACCAGGCTGAGCAAAAGCAAGATTCTGTCTCTACTAAAAAGTAGAAAAACTGAAGCAAGAGGATTGCTTGAGCCTGAGTTGGAGGTTGCTGTGTGTGAGCTGTGACACCATGGCTCTGTCTCAAAAAGAAAAGAAAAAGAAATGGTGGATTTGGGTTTTTTTGTTTGTTTGTTTTTTTGTTTTTTCTGAGACAGAGCCTCAAGCAGTCACCCTGGGTAGAGTGCTGTGGTATCACAGCTTACAGCAACCTTCAACTCCTGGGCTCAAGCGAGTCTCCTGCCTCCACCTCCCAAGTAGCTGGGACTATAGACACCTGCCACAACGCCCAGCTATTTTTTGGTTGCAACCATCATTGTTGTTTGGCAGGCCAGGGCTGGATTCAAACCCAGTCATAGCTCAGGTGTATGTGGCTGGCGCCTTAGCCACTTGAGCCACGAGTGCTGAGCCAAAAATTAGTGTTAAATACATTCATCAACAGGTAATTCCCAAGGGCTTCTCAAATCCAGCCAATGAGTGATGGCACATGCTTCTGAAAGCCAGCCCACAAGCAATAGCCACAGAATTTCCACAGCTTAAACAGCCCTATTCCCAGAAATTCACCCAACTTCTGAGCTCCACACTCTTGAGATTAGCTCTCCAGTTTGCTTAGGAAGATTGTCATACAGAAATAGTCTTTTTTTCTTTCTTTTGAGACAGAGCCTCAAGCTGTCCCCCTGGGTAAAGTGCCATGGCATCACAGCTCACAGCAACCTCCAACTCCTGGGCTTAAGCGAGTCTCCTGCCTCCACCTCCCAAGTAGCTGGGACCACAGGCGCCCGCCACAACACCTGGCTGTTTTTTTGTTTTTTTTTTTTGGTTGCAGCCATCATTGTTTGGTGGGCCTGGACTGGATTCAAACCTGCCATCTTAGGTGTATGTGGCTGGCGCCTTAGCCACTTGAGCCACAGGCGCCAAGCCTAGAAATAGTCTTAAGCAAGTAATACATTCAGCTGCTTCAGATACAAAATAGTGGCCTCTTCCCTTACCACCTCCATACCTTTGTATGCATAACCTACTCCTTCTGTCTGGAACATCATTTTCTGAAAACCTTTTTTCATTCATCCAGACTCAGCTCAACTAGCCTTTAAAACAGCTGGTCCCTTGGCTGGGTGCTTGTAATCTCAGCACTCTGGGAGGCTGAGGTGGAAGGATCCCTTGAGCTCAGGAGTTTGAGACCAGCCTGATCAAGAATGAGACCCCATCTCTACTAACTATAGAAAAATTAGCCATGTGCTGTGGTGAGTGCCTGTAGTCTCAACCACTCAAGAGGCTGGGCAGGAGGATTGCTGGAGCCCAGGAGTTTGAGGTTGTTGATGGCACTTTAGCCTGGGGCAACAGAAAACAAACAAATAAACAAACAAAAAATGTTTTTATATATGTATAATCTATTTTTATTCCACACTGCCTTGTTCATGTAGTAGCTCATTGCTATGTAAAGTTGACATTTAAATTGGTATGTTATTTATAGCCTTTATCCCATTCTGTATGAATTATTCATGTTTTGTTGGAGAAATCATAATGTATTTGATTAGATATGCTGCACCAGACCCTGCTGGAGGTTTTATAACATACACAGCATGCGCATTACCATACTGCTCTAGAATCTACAAAATTTTGCATTGTAAATTACATCTGGTCCCAAGGGTTTAAGATGAAGTTGGAAGACTGGTACAGTATATCCAGACGGCAACTCCACTTCTAATGTACTGCAAACAACTAAATGGTCTATCCCAGCTGGACCATCCTGGTCCTCACCTGGCTCCGCTGCCTCAGCCCTCACCCATCTCCCACAGTCTGTTCCCTATAAGGCCACCAGAGGGCGCCAGTTCCCCTCACAGCAGCTCACCTCCCCCTGCTCAGAACCTTCCATGGCTCCTGGTTCACTGAGCAAAGCCCTCACCCGTGGATCTCAAGGCCAAACGTGATCTGCTCCTATTCCCTCTCTGTCTTTGTCTCCATCCCTCTTCCTGTCACTAGCTCACTGAGCTCCAACCATACTGGGTTTCTAACTGCTCCTCCAGTGGCCCCAGGCCACACTTGCTTTTGAATCTTTGCAAAGGCTGTTCTGTATGCCTGTAAAACAGTCTCACAGTTCCATGACATCAAGATGCACTCCCTCACCTCCTTCAAGTACTTGATTCAAGTACTTCACTCTTCCATGCACCGTCCCCAGACCAAACTGTTTAGAATTGTACCCCTTTTGGGCAGTGCCTGTGGCTCAAGGAGTAGGGCGCCGGCTGCACATACTGGGGGTGGCAGGTTCGAGCCCGGCCTTGCCCCAAAACTCCAAAAATAAATAAATAATTGTACCCCTTTCCAAAAGTTTCCAAACCCCCAACCCTGCTGTTTTTATGCCTTTAGCACTTGGAGCAAATGATGTATGATAAATTAAGTTGATTGCTTATTAAGTTTCCTCCCACTAGAATATCAGGTTCATGAGAGAAGGATTTTCTTCCCATCTTGTTCACCATCAGGTCCTCAGTACGTAAATGGCACTGTGCAATAGAACATTCGACAACGATGGAAATGCTCTCCCTATGTTCTGTCCAACACGATAGCCACTGGCCACACGAGACTACTGAGCATGTGAGTGAATTTTTCTTTTTTGTTTTGAGACAGAGTCTCACTTTGTTGCCTTGGGTAACCGAGTGCTATGGCATCATAGCTCACAGCAACCTCAAACTCTTGCACTCAAGTGATCCTCTTGCCTCAGCATCCTAAGTAGCTGGGACTACATGCACCTGCCAGAACAATTGGCTACTTATTCTTTTCAGAGATGGGATCTCACTCTTGCTCAGACTGGTCTTGAACTCCTGAGCTCAAGTGATCCACCCAGCTTAGCCTCCCAGAGTGCTGAGATTATAGGCATGAGCCACAGCACCTGGCCTTGAATTTTTAATTTTATTTAATTTAAATGTAAATAGCCACATGTCTATTTGGGTTTGTACAACCTCACTGGACAGCAAAGATAATAGTTCATAAATATTTGTTGAATGAGTGATTTTATTAAGTGAATGAACAAATGAATGAAGTACTTACTATATCCAGGTACTATTTGCAGCCCTTTATAGGTATGCATCTAGTTTGAATCCTCATGTCCCCTCTAGGTGGTAGGTACTGCTATTATCCCCACTTTTACAGATGAAAAAGTGAAAGAACAGAAAGGTTTAATAACTGGTCCAAAGTTGCACAGCTTAGAAGTAACAGAGACAAAATTCAATCCCAGTGCTTTAACAAATAGCGCTCTCTGCTCTGGGGACAGGCTTAGAACTCTCCTCTCCTACTAGCTTCTCCAGAGGTGGGGAGTCCATGATGGTCAGATCAAAGGGTTATAAGATGGACCTATGGCTTACCTTGGTTCCCAGCTGTGGGGAAGGAAGATGGTGACCCTCAGGAGTGGAAGCCCGGGAGACCCTCGGAGACCCAAGACCTGGAAGGACAGAATGGGACTTGGTGAGGATGGGGAACTCAAAGAACATCCCATGTGCCCAGGATGCTCACCTGAGCGAGGGCTCGCCAGGTCTTTGTCACCTCCGAGGGGCCGCCCCCAGTCAGCTTCAGGGGACCGAAGGGAACTCAGTTCCAAGGACTCAGGCAGGCTCTGGAGGATCAGAAAAGGGGAGCAATTATCATCATTATCATTGTTACCCTTTTTCAATTCCCAGGCCTGCTTAACAAACAAGAAAGAAAGAAAGAATTTAGCAATTGAAACACAGTATGACTAGGATTAAAATTATAAACCAGGAGTGCCATAGCATCAGCCTAGCTCATAGAAACCTCAAACTCAGCTCGGCACATGTAGCTCAAGCAACTAAGGTGCCAGCCACATACACCAGAGGTGGTGGGTTCAAATCCAGCCCAGGCCTACCAAACAACTACAACCAAAAGATAGCTGGGCATTGTGGCAGGCACCTGTAGTCCCAGCTACTTGGGAGGCTGAGGCAAGAGAAT